CTACATATTTTTGTGTGATATTTCTGAATCTTGTTCTTTTAGCATAGAAACCTGGTTTCAAATAAAATTTTGAAAAAAATCAGGAAATTTTTAGAAATTTCCTCTTGTCTAGGAAAGTCATTGGAACTAAATTCACCTTGTTTTGCAAGAACATTTTTGACCAGGCAGTACTCCAAGTACATTAGTATATTTGAACAATTCTCAGCCAGTATTTCTAACAGGGGTAATTCAGGTTGTGTCAGAGACACTCCCCATCTCTACCAATTGGTTGACAACTTTCTATGTTCCATACACAGTAAAGCTTGGATACAGATTGCTGTGAAGAAAAGAATAATTAAAGTGTACTTTTTGTCATTGTTTCTTAAAAAGGGTCAGTTTCAGATATTCTTTTTTCACTGTCATGGATGTTGTCTTATCTGTGAGACAGCTCCACAGAAATTTTCTAGGTGTGAAAGTAGATCCAGATAGGTGCTAATAGAATGATACTCATTAAGAATTGTGAGAATGGAGTAATCAAAGGAAAAGCATGTAACATGGAACTGCTAAAGCTCATCCAAATACAGTCGACCTTGACATACTGCAATAGATGCCTTTCCTGAACCTAACTCATAGTAATAGTACAGTTAAAGCAGAGAATATGGGAAAAAAAAACCTCTGTAAACAAGGGGGCTGCTTTACCCCAATTTCCTTCCACAAACTGTCTACTCAGCCAGGAAGTCCTTGTTTCCTGGAAGTGGTTTTATAACTTCAGGCCTTCTTAGTTGTTAGAAAGTATTCATTATTCAGTCATACACCCAGACTGAGGCTATTTCAGCAGTTTTGCAGTACAATGACTAATTGGGAGTATTTTCTATAGTAAAGCAGAATGGTCAGTGTCATAGATATTTTCCCGCTATGCTTCTATCATATAGCTTTGGAGTAATTTCTTTTTGGGAAAAGTAACCTACCAAATGTCCTTTAAGGAGCTCCGAGTGCCCAGGTGATGTGACCCTAGTGCGCTTGTGAGCTGTCCCCTGGTAGAGGCTGATTTGCTTCCAGACCAATCTGCCTATGGATATAGAGCTTCTGACCCATCTGACAGTTTTTCACATTATACGTAGGACAGATCTTCTACAGACTTCAACCTACATATTAAATATAAAGTTGTTTAAAGGTACTATGTATGCAATTCTCTAAATGAAAAAGTAGTGGAGACTGATTTATGAGAATGCTTAAACATACGTATAACAAGACTTAACCTTGTCTTGTTTAGTTCTGTATTTTGGGTGTGCTTTAGCATATACGAAATAAGTCTATACTTTGGTCACGCTGATTCCAAAAACTTGCAACTGTTAATCATGAAATATCAATCACAAATAGAAAACAATTACTTTACATTTTTGACTGATCAGAACTTCAAAGGCATCAGAATATGAATGTGTGTTCCTATTCATATTGAAAAACACAGGGTATTATTAGTAGGGTTGAATGAAAATCTCATCTGTAAGTAACACTATTCCTAAACAAAAATAAAGCAAAAAAAGTAAAAGTCTATTTCAGAGGAAAACAGCTTCATATGCACATGAAAGCTCAGTTGACAGACACTACTCTAATCCTATATTTGCTTCTGCATATGTTTTTACTATTCACTAGATTCAGTACCAGTCACCCTCTCCCTGGCATTATACTTTCATTCTATATTTAGTTCTTATCCGTTGATTACTGTCTGTTTCTGATAACAATGTATTCCGATAGAGGTACCTCTTAAGATGTATTAGAGTTAAAGTTGTTTCCTTTCTCTGACCCTGCTGTGCTGTTGAGCATGCATTGACATAGAAAACGCTTTTGTTATGCATAGTTTGATTTTCTAGGACTGAACACTGAGAATTCTTCAGTAATGTGTTAGCAGACAAGCTCAAATATTGTTCTTCATTCACTTGTTGACTGTTATACTCAATTCCTCCAATGTTTCCTTGTGTCAGTATGAAAGTCTGTCTTCTCATTACCTCATAATTTGATGTAATCTGTCATTTCTCCCAATTCCCTTTTTAATAATATCTCCAAGACAACCCAGAAATCAACTCATAAAGTATTTGTATATTTCTACCTTAATTATATGAATAACCCAACTTTACACCTAAAAGCAGTATCAGATTCTGCCAAATAGTAAACTTCCTAAATATCCTAAAAAAATGTTCAAATGGAATCATCAGTTAGGATTCTTAGTGAAATATACATTATCTGAGATCAGGTCACATGGTTACATGCACACATTAGTACAATATATAGTACTAATTCCTCCCCTCTTCCTAAGATTGTTACTTTTTTTCCTATCCAGGCAACTATAGAGCAAATTTGTGTTCTTAACCACAAATTTGGGTATCTCAGGAATCTGGTGTGAGGGTTTAGCTGCTGCTACAATTCCCTCCATCAACAGCCAAAGCAAGTACTGATCCTAGGACAATTCATTTACCAGGTAACCTCACTAAGTGGCAAGGGAGTACCTGTTGCCAACTTGAACCAAGAGCATTTTTGCATTGTGCCCAAGACATGGTGGGAACAAAATAAGGAGAGATTGCATGTGTCCAGGTTTGGATATCACTTTAAAGAATCAAATTAATTTCAATTTTTCAGTTTTGTTATTGTTTGAGGGACAAGGAGAGAGAAAGGACACCTTACAAAAGAATATTTCTGATAGGTTAGACAGAAAAAGTTCCTACTAAAATGCAATTTTCAATATGTACACTGGGCCAGGAAATTAATGTGTACTTTGTTGGATGAAGAGTTGAATAGATTTTGTGCTGGCATTCTGCATACTGTGAATTTCACAGACTAGTGTAAAAGAAACTCCTAAATTGAGTCAGGAGCTGAATTTAAGATTTTGACAAAACTTCTAACTAACCCTAAACAAAATTTTCAGAATTTCCCTTGCTTAGATTCCTTAAGAATAAATCTGACATTCTGTATAGTTTTCAGATGGCAATGCTTGTTTTTCAAGACAAATGTACATGCATAGACACATACACAGAACTTGGTTTCACCGTAGTTCTTTGTACTTTTGCAAAGGCTGTGAAGGAAATATGACACACAAATACTTTGACTTTAAAGGGAGTAACTATGTAACTTCCAATACAGTTGCCTAGAATTATACTTGTAAGATATTGGTGCGTATCACATCTTTAGCCCACTTCTCGGAATGAATGTTTTGTATATACAAGGAATGGAGAAAGTGTCAACCACTTCTCTTTCTGGCCACTGGGCTGATGTTGAGGTAAACTGATTTCCATCTGGATTCTCTCACTTCCTCTACTCTTATACTTTGGTTTCAGAATAACAACCCATGACTGAGAGTAAGCATAAATAGTATCAAGGAAGTAAGGTATGGAGGCAAGGGAGAAGGTGGCAGAAGACGAAATGGAAAGCAATGAGGTACAGACATTTATGCATATGTAGTAGGTTATACAAACAGATATGTCTGGGTATAATTCACAATCTCAGAATCTTGCTTCATAAAATTCAGATAATTTTTCACCATTACTCTCCCCTCATATATCCAAACTTAGACTTTACTATTTCACTTCATTTTGAATAGTAATACAAGTGAAACAATCTTGACTTTGCAGTATTGTCTATGCTTTGAATAATCAGCTGAGATGTTCTCTCTCACATTTCAAGCAAGTAGCAAAGCTGTCAAAACACAGATGACCCAAAATATTTAACTGTTCATGGACAATGGTACTGCTCCAGAAGAGAAATAGTTAAGAAGAACAAGGGCTTTCCCTAAGTATCATATCTGCTATCATCCTTTACTAACCACTGAGCTATTGTGGGCAGCTGTTTTGTCAATATGAATGTAATTTTGGTATTCATGAAAGAGTATTTTTGAAGGAATATGGCTGTGTCTAAAATCCCTTTATCAGCTTTAGTGAGGAGAATCTACTGAAGGACAGGCTAAAGGAGCAAACCAAGGGTTAGAGGGATGAGTACTTAGCATCAAGTAATCAGAACTTGTCAATGCAAAAGATTTGGTCAGTAGGGCTAAAGGAGAAAGGGGATAGAGCACTGATCGTAAGCTTACATTTTCAGTAAAGTGACAGGTTTGAAGTACGTTAAGAGTACTGGGAAGAGAAAAATCCTGCTCGTGACTGTACTGCTCAATGAACCTTTGCTTCTGGATCTTGTGCACTGGACAAACAGATTGCTTTCCCCATACTTTGCCACAGAGCCAGGTGCTTATATCTCCTGAGGGGAAGATGAGAAGCGTAAATGGCAACTCATGTAGCAGAGAGGAGTTGACTATAGGTTCCCTAGTAAGAACCGTTTAGGATGGTTTCTGATTTCATATGACGATGACATTTATGTAGCTGTATGCTGGCTCGAGGGCACTTTTTTGCTAATTTCATTTTCAACCTATTGACCACATACATAATTCCACAGTTGTGAAATTGCAAGTAGTGCAATGAAAAGATTGCTCAGGTTTTAAAATCATTATTCTTATTTAAATTGTTAATATTTTTCTTCCTCTAAATAGTTTTAAAAATCTACTTGCTTTCAGTTGCATAAAATCTTTTTTAAAATCACAGAATTTTTGAGCTATTTAAATATTTCCATCAATCAGACACAGAAAAAAAAAAGTCTATCTGCTTAATATTTTTGCATATTACCTTTATGTATTTAGACCATATAAACTGTTACTATTTGAATTTCAACCATGTTCTGTAATATTTAGATGAACTTCACAAACTAGAAGAAGATGAAAAAAATGCAAACTGAAGTTACCATTTTCATAGGTTTGAATTGGTGTCTTAATTGGTTCTGGACTATGACTATCAAAGTGAAGAAAATCACCCAAATTTACCCTCCCCCTTATTCAGCGGTAAGCTTCATAGGACCTCCCCAAGCCAAATAAGGTCAGGAAGAATGTGCTAAGCACTGAGTGTGCTAAGAATAAAGTTGAACTGGGATGGATAAGGTTACTTTGAACTCTATATTTCATGTTTCCCGACATACCCCCCAAAGAACTGCAATTATGCTGGACAGGCTGCAGAAGCACTGAGCAGTTCTTTCCCAGTTCTTTTGATTTTTGTTGCCTTTCCATGAGTTCCTGTCCTGTTTAGAGCTGTGTCTTTTTACTTTTTATTTGTAGTGTGCATGGTTCTGAGGACATTAGAAAAATGTACTGAAGGTTCACTGTGAGGCGTGGCTATTTTTGTTAGAAGCTGATACTTTAGACTGAGCTTTAAGTGGTGCCTCTGGAAGACCTTGGGTTGCTGTGAGAGGGCAGGATTCTGCAGAGGAAAAAGACATTTCAGAGGGGCACAAAAGAAGAAGGAACACAATTAGACAAAGCAGAGGACCTCCCTCCTTCTCATTCTGCAGCTCCTGCAAGAGCCAGCAACCCAGAAGTACAGTCTAAGCTGCCACAGTAGATCTTGACCATTTTAACAGAGTATCTCTTACCATCATCATGGCCGAGATTACAGCAGAAGGTACAGTAACTCTTTTCAAATATAATTAACCAGAAATTATATGTACTTTAACAGTATAATTGAGCTAGCATGTCAAAAAGTTTTGTTACTCTTATCAAATAATTCTTTTACTCTAGGACCATTTCATTTTGTGTGCTGGATTGCCTTTTACTTTTCTTTCCTGTTTTTTCTTTCTTTTCTTTACTTTTTCAATCCTGAGTTTTTACCAGTTACTGAAGCTAGTTCTCTGTACATCTCTAAAAATAGCCTTAGTCTCAATTGCAGAACATCACCATTTAGGCAGCTCCATTAGAGTGATACAAGAGGGGAATGTCTAAATTTTCAGGGCATTCTACTCTCAAGTCTTTGCTCAGGTAGTCCCTTATAATGAGAGATTTGCCTGAGTCAGAATAGTTTAATTTGTTGGTCCTGATTTTTCCTTAGGGGGCACAGAGTATTTGTGAACTGTCTATGTAGTCACTGAAGGGTAAAATGTAAAAAAACCTCTGAAATCCTTATTCAGATAAACTTTTAAAGGGGTCAGAGAAATAAGTATGCCAAAGCTTGGCCTGCAAGAATGAAAGGCAATAGTATTAACCAATAAATACATATTCTAAAATATGAATGTTTCGTGTACTTTAATATTTCCTTACCATTCATATTTTAATAATATTTTAGAAATATAACAATATTTTATCAACTGCAGTCAGTCAGAGGATATATTTAAAATGCAACCCTCTTTAATACTGAATAGTTTTGTTACATTTCATTCCAACCTTTTTTTTTACAGTGTTTATCTGAATTTAATAATGACATTACAAAAGGTGCTTTTAAAAAATCTTCTGAAGGTTATTTTTATTCTACTTCTCCCGATTATGTTGTCTTTCAGTGCATGAAAGCTGTAGTTTTCATCTTCCATTTTTTATTGTTCATACTTTTAAGAGGATTCTGCATTAAGTGCTACTAATGAGTAACCACCTTCCTTCTAAAAGGTTGATATTAAGAGTATGTCAAATTGTACAATTGTTGTTTGATGTCTGGTTAGCCATAGCAAGGAGACAATGTGATGTTTTAATCAGCAGTTGGACTGTTCTCTTATTTACTTCTGGCTGAAAATACTGACAAAACAGGTGTCTCAGCCTGACAGCTAAGACAAACTCTAGTTTATTTGAATATTCTTAACCAAATTTGTTTTAAACATTGGTTATTTTGTAACTGTGATCAGGGAAATCTACAGAATAACCAAATTAGTAAGATTTTTAGTCCAAAATTAATAGTAAAAATAGAAGACTTTTCAATCAGTCTGGAAGTGACTTTTCAGTCATTTGGTTTATTGAAGAGAGACAATAAAAGATCCTAAAATGAAATCAAAGACCCTATAAAAAAAGAAAACAAAGAGTCTGAAAATGTTTTTATTGTGCTTTTATAATGTTTTTATAGGTATTCCTTAGCTATCATAGTGTCTGTCTTTCTTCTGTGTTTTTCTTATGCAAAGCATAGACTTTAGGTAATAAAGGGCACCAGCTCCACAGTAAGCTGACCTTCCATATGACAGGTAAATAAGCCATATAATTAGTTTAGTTTAGTTTAGCCTAGTTTTGTTTTCACATATTTAGAACAAACTTATGTTGATAGACTGATTTTAAAACTCTGTATCCATGAGATGGAAATTTTACTCATGGAAGAAAAGTAAGAATTCTGCCTCAGGCTAACGTTTCACTGCAGTTTATTTTCCTCCAGGGCTAGTACTGGCACTCACAGTCTGAAAGTTTAAATATAAACTTCAGCAACATATAGTTTGGTTAAATAAAAAACGTATTAAAATACCTGTTGCTTCACAGAATTTCTTCTTTTTTTTCCCCATATTACATCCCATCCCCTGATTTTCTGAGGTGTTCATGACTTGATTAGGATTAAAACAGTTGCTCCTTGGGATAGGTGTTCATAACTCTATCTTACAGTGTTAGTGTCATATCAGCCAGACTGTTGGGCTCCTTGCTTTTTGAGGTACCATGATGACACATAAAAAAGCAGGGCACAACAGTGATGTGGGCTTCAACTCTGCCATGGCCAGTGCAGCTGCTGGTTTAGAGAGATGGTCTAGCCCTGGTAGAGTGTATGGGTGCATATCTCAGGATACCTTTTTCTGACAGCCCACGTCAAGACTGTGATCTATTCAAAGACAGGTTAATAAGGATGATGGGGAACTCTTTCAGGTCAACATCATGATAGTGATAATGAGACTAAGTTACTTAAAAACGTTGCCACTAAGCAATGACCCTGCCCTGTCTACTTGCATCACAAGTCACATGTGCTACCTATTCTTTTCCACAGTTACAAATTAGTTATGGAAATACTGGTGAAATATACACTGTGAAAGACAAAATGAGATCTCTGAAGACAGCAACTTATAAGTGTCCTTAGAAAGTTGGCAGGACTTACGTCTCCTGCTGTCAAGTATTTAGGAGAAGATTCCAAGGGATTATCTTCAGCATTCTCGTATTACATGTCATTGCAGTCACAGAAATGCACTATTAAAAAGTGGAAGTCCTTAAAACTGTATAAAAAAAAAAATCTCAGTACAGATACTAAGTACACTGTCTTTCCAACTCTCTCAAGGTCTAATACTAGTATTATTAGTATTATTAAAATATTAATATTAATTAATATTAATTATTGATATTGTTATTGTTAAGCTGTTATTGTGTATTCTTGTAATGGCCAGGATCTTTACTGTGATCTACCTAAGTGATTGTCTAGCAAGCTATGTTACTTTGCTGTGTTTATGGAACACAGGGATTGGACTGGACTCGATGGCAGATGTAGTTCACAGAATCACAGAATATGCTCAGTTGGAAGGGACCCATAAGGATCATCGAGTCCAGCCCTTATAGGACCATCTCCAAGAGTCACACCATGTGCCTGAGAGTATTGTTCAAATGCTTCTTGAACTCTGTCAGACTTGGTGCTGTGACCACTTCCCCAGGGATCCTGTTCCAGCAGCCAACGACCTGGTGAAGAACCTTTTTCTAATATCCAGCCTAAACCTCCCCTGACACAGGTTTGTGAGGTGACTTTCCTCATCCTGCAATGGGCCAATATTTTTATACTGCTTATTGCCATTAATATATATGAAAAAACTCTTTTTATTGTCCCCCACATTTCTGCCCACAATCCGCTCCAGATGAGTTTGGGCAGCACAAATTTTCTCCCTTCAAAGGCAAGCAGCATCTCTGAATTCTTCCCATATCACTTGACCTTGAGCCTGGTACCTCTGAGAAATGGTTTCAACCAAAATACAGCTTAATCTGTATGTGCACAGTAGCTCCAGCAGCAGCCTTATAGTTGGTCCTTTCTAGTCTCCTGCAGGTCACAGTGCAAGGTTGATGGCTGTCCCCTGACACTTTATGCAGGGAAGAATGAACAGAGACTCAGCTCTGCTTGCTGCAGTGCCCTGGAGACTATGCACTGACCTAATCCAGGGAGGTGAGAAAAGGAGGAAGACAAGGTTTCTATACCAGCTGTTTGTCTGCCACAAGTTTCTTCTCCAGCGGAGCAAGAGAAGTAGGAGTCAAATAGAAATAAAGCAATGAGTTACAGTTTGGTCTTTATTTTGCTGCTGAGAGCTGTGCAACTACATATTTCCTCTATCTGGGAGCAGGCTGCAAGCAGACAGGCTAGCCCTGAGGCCACACACAACTTGTCAGTGACAAAATTAAAATTAGCTTTTCAGGGTTTCAGTCCTTTACTCAGGCTTGTTGATAGCTACGAAAAGTTTTAAGATGTAAACCATTTCAAAAGGCAACAAGATCTGCATGCCTGAAGATTGATAGACACAAAACTAATAATATATGAGAAATAACCCTTTAGGCATACAAGGTTTCCTACCTTTCAGTTAGACGCTGTTCAAATTCGGAATTAGAAGGTTTCTATAAAATTCATTTAGCATCTAGTGAATTTTCAAAATGAAAAGGTGTCTTCTTTTTCTGGCTTTCAGTGTTAAGGAAGCAGATATTATAACTTTTACATCAGGGTAAGGAGAATACAACAATTTTAGAAATGATTTTTTGAAGGAGTCAGTCTGTTCCTGTTCAGAACTACCGGATAAAATTAACAGCATAATTACCCAGAGAGACAAAAAGTCAGAAAACCCTACTTGTAAAAAAGTCTTTGTGGGGAACAAAACCTCCAAATTCTCACCGAAATTCCTTAAAATTTGTATTCCCCTGTGACTGCAGGCCTGGACAACTGAGCTTGTTAGTTTGGCTCCAGCCTTGGTACTTTCTCATGGCGTGTTGAAGCAAGCGTGAGGTCAAATTTACTATCTTAAGTTTTAGGTTTAAGAATTTGTGGACAATGCTACTCACAGCTGACACAGTATCTATGCATGTTCAGTTGGTACATGGAAGCCCTTTAGGTAGCCCCTTAGAAAGTTAGCTATCTATGGACAGCAGGAAGACTTAAAACCAATAAACCAGAGGGCTAAGGTGTTGTTAGTCTGTGATGGGCTGAAAGTGTCTGCGTATAGTTAACTCCCCTTTACTTGTGGTCAAAGAGCTGGACTTTAGGTCTGAACATTTATTCTTTTTTTTTTTTTTTAAAGAACTTAGTGCTCATAAGTATTTGGAACGTATTTTAAGGTTATTTATATAATAAGAAACATGTTTAAAATCCTAGTAGTATTTTCAAGTTATTGGGGAGATCAGTCACCACTGATTTAAAAATGAAATCTGTGCAACTACTTACGTTCTCAGAAGTCCCAATGTACAGCTTCAAGTACTGAAAATTTGAAAAAAACTAGTCTATAAATATTTTGCACAATTTTACCCATTGTCTACAGTGTAAATACTGAATAAGAAGCAGATTCATGCTGCTTTTACTTCTCTGCTGTGGAAAGCAGAAACTTTTTTTTTTTTAACCTTTTAGTTTAAATCATATTTCATAATATGGGTCTGGCTTCATTTTAGGGCATCCTGAGGACAGAGAAACAAGAGTTATCCTATTTGAATCAGGTCATGTGG